TGTATATGTGGTGTTAACCGACGTTCCTCCGAAACGTCGGTTAACACCACATATACACGGTGCCAAATCCCAGAAGACTGCTTTCTTCATAAACATTTAATGTCATGAACGTTTCGACTCATGATTATAATGGGCATGTGGCAGGTCACGCCCACTTTAGACTGGAATGAAATTTGTGAGACACTGTGTACATAAATCTGGGTACTTACTTGAGGAAGAAACGGGCTCCGCAGACGGCGCAGAGGAAGGGCTTCTTCCGCTCAGTATGTATCAGGCGGTGCCTCTCCAGCGAGGCTCTGTTTGCAGAAGTGAAGGGACACACGTCACACACATAGCCCGCCTCCCCGCGATGTTCTTGCTTCACATGTGTAATCATTGAGGACCTGTGTCCGAACCCGCGATAACAGATGCTACATACAAAGGGGCGTTCCTGTGTGTGGGTCCTCAGATGACATCGTAAAGCTGCCTTGCGGAAAACTCGCGTGCACAGGGGACATTGGTACCTCGCCACCTTCTGCAACATTTTCAATGGAATATCGTGAAGCTGAATTCGAAGTTTTTGTGTTTCAGTATCTGAGATGTATTACATTATCTTATTTTAGAGAGCACAAACTGACATACATAGGCGTACCTACTTACATGCATGTATAATAGTACATATTTACATAAACGCATAACCACGTACTTGATTACTGCCTTAAATGATAACTATTGTATTATCTGTGACAGGCATCGAGGCCTCTGAGTGGCTACTGACAAACTCTTTATATCTTGCAGAACACCATAAACGTGGCAGTATATTGTAATGTGGATGGCCAGAGCGTTTCTAGGCAACGACCTGTAAACAACCTTTAGTTGCGTAAGTGCACTCCACAATAGGATGAATGTTTATAATCCGTTGTTAGGCAAAGGTCAGCGCGCCAACAGATTGGCAATATCGGTATCATGTGACTGGCTTTCTATGAAGTCCGTGCTGCGAGACAACAGTAGAGGCTGTTTTCTGAGCGTGGTCGTTGCGGAGGCTACATAACGACAGTTAGAGATAGAACAGATTTCAGTATTTGAGTGTTTAAGTGTTTAAGGGACAGCGAGTCAGTTCTCGGTGGAAGATAGACATGGAAAGTTTGTCGTGTGTGATTAGAATACTTTAATTATGCGTAATGCTCTTCACTATCATTTAACCACATTTAACCACTATCATTTAACACAGAACTGAAGCACGAATGTGAGCCAGCAAGTAACTCAGACACATTACCTGACTCTGAACTGTGGTAGTTTCACGACTTGCATCTTCTGTAACAGAGGGATCAGTGATTGGGTCTCCGTGCAGAACCTCATGGAAGAGTAGTTCAGCTCGCGAGTCAGTTTGATAGGAGCACTGACTGCACGTGATATAACTGCAATCTCCGCCCTCTGCCTCCTTACTGCTAACTTCTGTAGAAGCAATTGGCACACCAGCCACCTCCGGCACCTGATCTCCGCCTGATGGAGCGTCCGACTTCATTTCGTCGGGCCGGAACACGCACGCTGCTTCTCTCACGTGGCGGGACACTTCTTGCGGTAACGTGAACGCCATCCCACAACGCGCACATCTGCAACAGACCCTCTTTAATATGACAAGTTTTCGAGGTTGAAAGTGAACGGTAGCTTTTATCTGAAAATTGTCTTATAGGTGGTGTGGATGTATTTAACAAGGCTGATAAATCATTTCGATAATAATTTGAAATAGCCTCGAGTTACGTAAGCCTACTTGAATTAAGTAGTATATTTAATGAAAGAGTGCTATTATACTGATATTAAAGAAGAATTAAAAAAATATTTTATACAACTAACAACGTAACATAACACAGAAATATAGAATGTCATGTGAGGAGAATAGATTGCAAGAAAAACTAAAAAAATGCTGATTATATATTGATAGGCAAAGAGTGCTTACAGATAAGCAAAGAATTGTGAAGAATTGTTTGTTAAAAGGTGTCCCATTCCCTTAGAAAAGTTACTGAATGATAATGATGATAATGGCCAATGAGACACTGAGATTCCTAATGGATGCAGACGCAGACTCTATGCGCAAGAGACATTAACTGTTGGAGTACTGGAGGAGGAGGGTAGGATAAATAGATTGTACATATACATATTAGGTTCCGATTTATGTTTTATTTGCGCGTTTTTGTACCTACATGCCGTATTTATGCACTTCATGTCAACTCATTTCGGAGTTCCCACTTCTCCTTAGAAGAGGTCGCAGTCATCAAGCTTATCATACCCGTCCTAAGTGTAACCCCGAAATTTAACATCTGATTCTATGGACGGAAATTCCCACGACTTACACAGCTTCTACAAAGGAGTGTAACCGGTCTAGTGCGTGGCTCTTTGTAGGGTCCGAGATCGAATCTCGGACGCTGCTGCATCATTCTATTTTCAGCGGTATTCCTGTCTACTTCTGGGAAAGAGTTGGAGCTCTTTCGCGAGATGTAGCAGCTTTGAGTTGGGGGAGGGGGTTCAGTTCGAAGATTTAACACGTGAAGACCACACGCCCAAACCTCTCACTCTGCCCAGTCAAGACGTATTGTAATATTGGTTGGGGGCCTCTCACCCTGTCGCGGGTCAACAAAGCCACTGCCTCTCTTGAGCTGCAGTTTCAGTGGTGATATAAGACCGAAACAGAGTGCGCGCCCGAAGACAAAGGGAAGCCTGCTACAAAATTTGTTCAAGCCGCCTTCACATTATAACTCCGTGGCTTTTAGTCCGCAAGAGAACTATATCGACCGAGGGACCGCCGCTTGTCGGCGAAGTTAGTGCCAACTTTTTGCGGATAGAGGGTGCCGCCTGGTCAGCGCAACGGATTCCCACGGCCGCGAACCTCGATTTTCTAGACCGGATCCGCTACTTTTCAACAAGTAGTTCCTCAATTATCCTCATGAGGCTGAGTGAACCCCGTTCCAGACCCATTCCTTCTCATAAAATCTGGTAGCGCCGGGAATCGAAGCCGGGACCTCAGAATCTGTAGCCAGGAACTCTGACCACTATACCACAGAGGTTGCCACCACCTTCATATTATCGATTTTAAATATTAAGTGCTTGCCATGCAAAACTGTATATACAATTTAATAGTGAGAGCGGGTTGCATCTTACAAAAGCGAAGGGGAGAGTGCTTTGGCCGAACCCCACTATCATACCATCCTTAGCCAGCCCATACATTGTTCTCGCATCCGTAAACCACTGCTCCTCCATTACATGCTACGCCATCCTATTACAGAGTCTCATTCGACCCAGAACCGAAGGCCTTGTGCAAGGATGTCGCTGCTGGAAGTGAGGGTATACAGTGGACCAAGACACTGAAGTGTACTTATTCTATCTAGACCCAGTCCACTGGCATCCATCTGAAAGTAGACGCTCATACGTGTATATACAAGTAAGCAAGAACTTGGCCGCGCCATAGCTCAAGCGGTTAGTCGCTGGTTTCCCACCGGGGCGGCCCGGGTTCGATCCCAGGTCTGGTCAAGTGGGATTTGTGGTGGACAAAGTGGCGCTGGGACACATTTTCTCCGAGTACTTCGGTTTCCCCTGCCAATCTTCATTCCACCAATTGCTCTACAATCACCCTCACCTATCATCTGGGGCTGGTACAATAGGCCAGAAGTGGCCGCAGTACAAGGGACTTAGTCCCGTCCCACTAGCAATAAAAAAAGCAAGAACTTTGCACGTCGTAGAATCAGCGAGCAAAGCGGGGGACTATGCAGAGGACCCCTAGACCGGTTGTAGGAGTATTAGCTTTACCTATAGGGGAACTCGGAGTGCTTCTCCCGAAGATGTGTCTTCAACTGCAACACGTTTCCAAAGTCCTCCCCACAGTGAGGGCACCTCTTTGTCAGGACTTCGTCGCTCAAACCCCTGTCCCTCCTACTGGCAAGGGCGGAATACTTGTGTTCCTGACTACGGCGATGCAGAGCGGCTTCCTCCGCGGTGTCAAAGTTGAGGGAGCAAGCGCTGCAGAAGTACGCGCCCCTCTTCTCCGCTTTGTGCGTGTGAAGCACGTGGCGTTGCAGAGAGACGCATGAGTTTCCCACGAAGCGGCAGTCGGAGCAGCAGAAGCGCCCCTGATACTCATCAGAGCCCGTGCTGGAGTCGTGGTGTCCGGCCAGCATGACATGTCTCCTTAGCTGCGCGTTGTAGCGGAACTCCTCGCCACAAGCGCCGCAGGAGAGCACTGTTCGCTTCCGGATCACGACAGGGACTGAACGATTAATGACAGCCACAAGCTCCCGGTGCACTGAACTGTCAAAATGGCACTCCATGTCCCCAGAACTCTCACATTCATACTTGCAGACTGAACACCAATAACGTCCGCTCACCTGCAAAGAGACATGTACACTTGGCTCTACAATGTGATTTATATCCATAAATTCGGAGAAGAACAATTTTAGGAAATAGCCTCACAATCATTATTCAGCCCAAAAGTTCTTGTTTTCCCATCTGTTATCTAAAACACCAACTACTAATATGTAAAATGTGTATAAAACGAAACACGAATGAAAAGTAAATTGTATTTATTTTAAATTTTCCCTGGTCCCGTGAACTGTGAGGAGAGAATTATTGTAATCTAATAAAGAAAATGTAATTGGCATGTAAAGATAATACAACAATTTGAAGATTATTGGACAACGAAAAATTTAGAAACGGAAAGAAAGTAAAAAAAAAATAGAAAAATAAAACGAATACATGTACGTTTCACTATTAGATTACGTAGCATAGCAAGAATTGAAAACTTTGGATTTTATCACAACCACAGGGAAACGCATACTGTGCTCCAGTATTGTTGAGCAGTAAAAACCCCACGTCACACAGAAAAGTTCAGCTTCCTTGGAAATCATTTTGTGTACGTTTTCTGCACACAATAGCCATTCACCGGAAGAGACGTAACTTACGCAATGTCTAACTAAATTAATTAAGCACTAGGCTATGAAGGCGTATGCAAGAGTGGATGTGCAGATCCACAATTTTTGTTCTCGGCACTAGCTGGAGATGAGTGGTCAGCTTCACGCCCTTGCCGCTTTACCCCCGGGGGAAACAGCCCACTGCACCCACTGGGTGCGTCCCAGAGCCGGTCTGGACGACGTGGAGAAAAGAAAATTCTTTACTCTATAGGGACACGAACTCCGAACCATCGGTCATCCAACCCGTAGCGAGTCGCTATACCGACTACGCTATTCCGGCTCACGCAACCTACCCATAGAATACAGGAGAGTGCTGATGGTACCTTGGAGTCCGTGCGTTCGTGCTCCTGGGAGGCCCAGTGTTGCTTGAAGCTGGCTTCAGTGTTGCAGTAGAATTTGCAAGGGCTGCACTGGAAGGGCGCCTGACGTACTATGCTGTGGATGTTCTCCAGTACAAGCCTTGCAGCCTGCGGGTGGCCAGAGCGCGCCTTGCGACAATGGTAGTGTGACACCAGATGTTTTCCCAGCAAGTGCCTCAACACCCTGGATCGGCAGACTTCGCAGCGCACCTCGTTGCGTCGTCTCCTCTCTTTCTTTGGAGACCCTGAAATCTGCAACCACTTGTCTAACGTGGGTCTTCTCCGCGCTGTACAATACCTTATGTCATAAGGGAAGTGTTTTGCTAGATTCTTGTTGAATTTGGTATAACCACGAAACTTATTAGGCCAACAAGGCCAGTAGTGGCCGCAGTACCAAGTGAACTCAGTCTCACCCCACAAACACTAATAAAAATTAAAAAAAAAGATCAGGCCAATATAAAAGTGTCTCAGTTACTGCATGTTTTTATGCATTACTGAAAGTGTTCCGAAAGATAATGTGCTTTATAGACGTTTATTTTCAATTCCGCTTCAGAATTGTCTACGCCGCCGGTCACGGTAGCCCAGCGGTGTAAGGCATGCACTATCTTCGCTCGCTCGGAAGCCGGAATCGTGGGTTCGAATACCACTCAGGGCATGGATGTTTAGTGTCTGTGTATGCGCGTGCGTTTTTCTGTTTGTGGACAGGTAGAGGCCATGCGACGAGCTGATCACGCGCCCAAGGAGTCCTACCGAACGTTTAAATTCCAGCAAACCAAAGTGAAACAGAGAGTTTCATAGAGGTAGGCCAAGGCCCGAATGGGGCGCTAGTGTCAAAGGAGATAAGAAATTCTGCGCTATTAGGGAGGTCCAAAATAGCGAGGGGCGTCTGAAAATGAATGGCATACTTCACTTCGTGGTCGATATTAATGGTATTGAGAGAGGGAACATAATGTCGCTAGTAAAGAAGACTTTAATAAAGTGGTTGAAAAAGTAAGATGTAAACGCAGAGACAACTGAGCAGACTTGTGTGCTCCTATTTCGTTGAAAGAATGCAGATCAAAATAACAGCACAGAAATAGCCAGTAGTATACATGAGCATATTATTGTATCGGGGATGTGGAGCCATGTCGATATTATATAGACACCTGCTCACGCTGGTTCATCCTCGCGGATTTCTCATGCCCTGAAGCTGAAGGCGATAGGTTAATTTTAAGTGATGAGAAAAGAAGGGAGACATTTCCTCCTTTGACCCTAACACTAAATCCAGACTAAAGAGGACAGAGCTACTAAACGAGATGTATCGTGTTTGGCACAGGAAGAGTTAATATTTCAGTTTTTGAGACATGTTCTTGAGAAACTACTTACTGCACCGGAGTTCAGTCGTCGTCTCTTTCTGCGGGCCCACAGTTCGCTGTTGAGGTATACCTCGGTCAGTTTTACTGTCCTCTTTTCACTTGTCCTGTAAGTGGAGTCGCCCTGAGCCCTAACCGGATGGTCTTCCAGTTCTCGCTCCTGTACAGTTCTCTTGAAATGCAGTTCGGACAACAAATGCCTCTCGTACAGCGTCCTGGAACTGAGTCGCCTGTTGCACTGCCCACACCAGTACTGGATGGTACTGCCGGACTTCCGAAGGGGTGGATTCAGCATCATGCTGTCCACACTGCCACTCTCCGTGCTGCCCCCGTCATCCAGATGGACCTGCTTACCCGGCAACCACTTACCACTCATATAACCTGGAGGAGGTACCCTCGGGATTGCACTATCAACAATTCTGGCGACAGTGGAGTCTCTCCCTCCGTTGTTATCATGCAGCAGGTAGTCTTCATAGTCTGAATTCGTGCCACGACAAACCTGCAAAGGATTATACAGAATGTTGGCACTCTTGCTTACTTTCTGTTGTAACGAAATGCAGGCATCTTTGTGTATGCACGTGAGTCTGCTTCCTGCTGACACTTAACCCAGTCAGCAACATGACACAACATTAGAGGCTGCTAGCGTAACCCAGTTAGCAGCATGACGCAACATTAGAGACTGCTAGAGTAACCCAGTCAGCAACATGACACAACATTAGAAGCTGCTAGAGTAACCCAGTCAGCAACATGACACAACATTAGAAGCTGCTAGAGTAACCCAGTCAGCAACATGACACAACATTAGAAGCTGCTAGAGTAACCCAGTCAGCAACATGACACAACATTAGAAGCTGCTAGAGTAACCCAGTCAGCAACATGACACAACATTAGAAGCTGCTAGAGTAACCCAGTCAGCAACATGACACAACATTAGAAGCTGCTAGAGTAACCCAGTCAGCAACATGACACAACATTAGAAGCTGCTAGAGTAACCCAGTCAGCAACATGACACAACATTAGAAGCTGCTAGAGTAACCCAGTCAGCAACATGACACAACATTAGAAGCTGCTAGAGTAACCCAGTCAGCAACATGACACAACATTAGAAGCTGCTAGAGTAACCCAGTCAGCAACATGACACAACATTAGAAGCTGCTAGAGTAACCCAGTCAGCAACATGACACAACATTAGAAGCTGCTAGAGTAACCCAGTCAGCAACATGACACAACATTAGAAGCTGCTAGAGTAACCCAGTCAGCAACATGACACAACATTAGAAGCTGCTAGAGTAACCCAGTCAGCAACATGACACAACATTAGAAGCTGCTAGAGTAACCCAGTCAGCAACATGACACAACATTAGAAGCTGCTAGAGTAACCCAGTCAGCAACATGACACAACATTAGAAGCTGCTAGAGTAACCCAGTCAGCAACATGACACAACATTAGAAGCTGCTAGAGTAACCCAGTCAGCAACATGACACAACATTAGAAGCTGCTAGAGTAACCCAGTCAGCAACATGACACAACATTAGAAGCTGCTAGAGTAACCCAGTCAGCAACATGACACAACATTAGAAGCTGCTAGAGTAACCCAGTCAGCAACATGACACAACATTAGAAGCTGCTAGAGTAACCCAGTCAGCAACATGACACAACATTAGAAGCTGCTAGAGTAACCCAGTCAGCAACATGACACAACATTAGAAGCTGCTAGAGTAACCCAGTCAGCAACATGACACAACATTAGAAGCTGCTAGAGTAACCCAGTCAGCAACATGACACAACATTAGAAGCTGCTAGAGTAACCCAGTCAGCAACATGACACAACATTAGAAGCTGCTAGAGTAACCCAGTCAGCAACATGACACAACATTAGAGACTGCTAGAGTAACCCAGTTAGCAGCATGACACAACTAATTTTGAAAACATCTTACACTTTGAAGAGCAATTTCATATTCGTGGGAATCGTGCACAAGAACAGATCAGGTCGCAAATGGGTTTATTTACGTATAATAAGCCGCTCTATATTCCTGTGACAGGCTGTGGAAGCCCATATGGTTGTGACACGTTGAGGGCCCCACATTATCTAGACAATCGGCTCACAGCTAGCGGTAAGGTTGTAAGCCTTACGCGCCGGGCGCTCTCCATATACAAACGTTTAAAGTAAGTAAACATGGGGTCACAGTATTTCCTCGAAATAACGGACAGAAGTCACGAAAAATCTTATCAGGCCAGGTTTGAAACTGCTGCCTACTAGATGTACGAATGCACCGTCACATTTGATAAAAATGCAGCAGGAATACCTCTCTTAGACTAAATTCTTTATCACAAAAGTGAACAAGTGACATACCTGTTGCGTGTTCATGACCGCCTGATTAGGAAGAGTGGGCCTCCATTTGCCTCCAGTAAAGTTTGGTGGCGGGTCCGATGACACAGTAGAACTTCCCGCGCAATCTTCCAGAAGCAGGCTCCACCCTCCCGTGCTACTCCCTCGGTATTCATCAGCGTGTGTTGAAGAAGAGGATGTCCTTGTCCAAGATGGCGGAGATCCTCTTGTCATCAAGTCGCCAGGCTTCCATTTGCCTCCAGTATGTGATCTGGGCGGACAGCCATCGTCTTCCTCATCCTCATCTTCCTCCTCATATTCTTCATTAGATTCCTCTTCACAAGCCGATTCGAGGTCGCTTCTCTCTACACCAGCCTGCATGACGTTCTCGCGGCTCGCCGTCTTCATGAGACATGTGCTTGTAGCGGTGTCTATGTCTGTTTGCGGTGAGAACAGTTCTGTGGAAACATTTCCCAGAAGTTCACTGTTGCTCTTCTGTTGACTTGCGAACTGGGCATCACGTGATGAAGTGCATGCCAGGATGGCCGCGGAAGCCCTGCTTCGTGTTATCACGCCACCGGCGTTCTTGATGGAACTTCCTGGTGAACTTCCTGTAGTTTTCTTAGCGCTACTTTGGAGTTCCAAGGAGGAAAAGAAATCGTCTGCTTTGAGGTTTGGGTCATTTTCTATGTGTGTTGGAGGCATGGTAGTAGTGATCTTTGGCATGGATGCGACCTCTACTTTCATAGGGGAGTTCAGAGGACGGTTGGTAGAACTGTTTGTGGTGCAGCCGGATTTCCGGTGTTTCACATAGTTGTCCAAACCTGCGATGTAATACACATTCACATCAAAATGTAAGTCATTTATGTGCTTAAGCATTACGTTAAGAAGTGATGGAAGTAGATCCGTACATTCTTATTATTAATATGATATGGTCACTGCACAGCACAGGAAAGAAACTTTCTCCCCCCCCCCCAAAAAAAATTCTTCAGATAGGCGGCGTGGTGGTTGTCAGGTGAGGGGGAGTGCAAGACACCAACTCTGGGTCCCTTAGAAAGAGCTAATCTCAGTCACTGACGGAAAGAGATCTAGTTACCAAAACGTTATGTTTTCTAGTTTTAGAATACCGGACGATTGATAAATTACACAACCCAGTGATTCTGAGTGTAATACAGCATTGTCAGAACGCTTTAGAATAATTTTTGCTGTACCACGAATCAAATCAGGTTCGCATAGCACACTGTGCACACTGAGCTACATTAGAGTTCGATAAACACAACATGACGAGCAAACAACAGTACAAAGTGCAGTGTACAGTATAATTACAGTCAGGAAATGTAGGATGGAGATTACATAGCTTTTTAAATTGACTGGATGTACGGGGAATATTTTTAGTAACTAGATGCGTTCACGGTTCTACGCTTCACCACTACCGGTGCATCGCTGGCCGCTACGCACACGCAATTTTGCCGATGACTCAGCATGCTTGACGGCCGATAACATTTTGAATGAAGGAAAATAATTATCTAGTATACCTCTACACAGTATTATGTTACACGGCGGGCTGTGCGGTTCATTTATGGAAGTTCATGATTTGTCAGCAGTAGGCAGTAGTTATCAGCGTCATGAGCCATTTGCTCCCAGTTAACAGGTAGCAGTGTCACACGACACGGTTCGCTGTACTTCAGAGCAACGAGTATTTCTACATGATACGGATATGCTGGAAAGTGTCGGCGAAAATTTCGAAGTAAATTTCGTAATGAAAGGCTTCCCAGCAGAAGAAACAATTCATAATTTGGTGAGTAAACTCAGATGAACGGGGCTCTTCGTAGACAGGAAACGGAAACATAACCGCCGAGTGCTCACTGAGAAGTTACATGACTTGAACATACACCCAGAAAATCACTGAAACGTCTAGCTCAAGAGAGTGAAGTGCCGAAGAAGGGCAACACAATTGCTGAAACTCAGACCCTACAAAACAACAGCAATCTACGCCTTGCAGCCGCGCGATCCAGCTATCAGGGTCCATTTTTGCAGTAGGTTTCTGCAGTCTCGTCGAAGGTGAGATCGAACCGCAACTGACAGTCTTTTCTGATGAAGCGTGGTTTTACTTGCAGGGTTACATAAATATGCAAAATAATCGCTACTGGAGTTCACAGAATCCACTTCTTTTTATTGCTAGTGGCGTGGGACTAAGTCCCTTGTACTGCGGCCACTTCTTGCCTATTGCACCAGCCCCAGATGATAGGTGAGGGTGACTGTGGAGCAATTGGTGGAATGAAGACTGGCAGGGGAAACCGAAGTACTCCGAGAAAACCTACCCCAGCGCCACTTTGTCCCGTCGCGGTGAAGCTCAAAGCAGTGAACACTTCAAGTTCTGTTCTATATATATTTACATGACGTTTCGGTGTCACTCTTATTTCAGTATTCAGGATAGCTCAGGTAATAAAGCGACAGGCTACGGACTAGGAGGCCGGGGTTTGACTACCGGCAGAGGGAAGAACATTTTGTTCATTCCACAGCGTCCACACTGGCTCTGGACCCATCCAGCTTTCTGCCCAATGGGTATCGAGGGCTCTTTCCCAGGGGATAATGTGGCCGGGACGTGAGCTGACCACTAACCTCATCTCATCTCATCTAGTGACAAGGTCAATACTTGTGGACCTATACTACCATCCCCCCCTATATCTTCATGTGTGGTTCTTAATTTATGAAGCACAGGGATAACTTTTATTTTTTTCCCTAATTTCGGTATTAATATAATTGGTCGGCATTAAGCCCAAGGAAAGTATTTACTCTAAGTAAACGGAAGTAGCAAGAGGCCGGAGATTACTGCACAAGGAAAACTTCCCTAAGTGTACGCCTACTGTATGCCTAACATCACTGGGATGACTAAATCAAGATGAACAGCCACGGTGGGCCAGGCTAGATGCAAGGTTGGGTCATGTGGGATGTGCAATGGGCAAATAGACGCTAGGCCAGATTTTCCTACAGTACTTCCCTTTCTCCTACCAATTCTCATTCCATCAAATTCTCCATATTCATTAACGAACCTGTCATCTGACACTATATAAGATCCATAATGACAGCATCCTTAAATACTCATGAACCTGAGCCCTTCTTGAGGAGCCGCCAATTCTGCAGCTACTCAAGAATGTCCAAACATTTTGTTGTACTCTAAAGTTCATTACCGTCATTACTGGTCCCTATCCTGAGCCAGATCAATACAATCCATACCATCCCATCCTATCTCTCTAGGATCCATTTTAATACTGCCCACCCACCTACGTATTGGTCTTCCCAGTGCTCTCCCACCAATATTCTATATGCATTCCTCTTCTCTCCTTTCGTGCTACATGCTCTGCCCACCTCATCCTCCTTGACTTGATCATTCTAATTATACTTGGAGAAGAGTACAAGTTACAAGTTATGAAGCTCCTCATTAACCAACTTGAACATCAAGATGATAGCAGCATGAATAGGAGACATGAGGAATGGACACACATTTGTGGTCCGAGATCCTGGAGTGAGGAAACCACGTAGGAGGCAGGGTGTAGGTGACAGACTAATATTAGAATGTAAACAAATGTACTTAACTAATTAAGCACTACGCCATGAAGGAGTATGTGGGAGTGGATATATAGTTCAACATTTTCTTGGCCTCGGCACTAGCTGAAGGTGAATGGTCAGCTTCACACCCCGGCAGCTTTACCCCGGGGAAAGGGCAACCGGTACCCATTAGACAGGAGGTTGGGTGGACACCAGAGCCTGTCTGGACGATATAGAGAAGAGAAAATTGTTGCCCCTACCGAGAATCAAGCTCCGAACCCCGTAGCCCGTCGCAATACCGACTGAGCCATAGCGGCTCACGGAATATTAGAATTTATCTTTGAGAGATAGAATGTGAGGATGAGGACTGAGTTTAACTGGTCAGAACAAAGTCGGGCGAGAGGCTTAAACAGGGGTACCTTCATGAGCTCAGTAATCACGTGGCGCAACTTACCGACAATGGTCGTCCGGCACTTCAAGCAGATGTGTGTGTCGTCATCGATGTCCTGGTCAGCATCCATCTCGTTTCACTCACAGGAGAATGTCCTGCGAAGAAAAAGGATACCCATATCACGTTCTGCTGTAAGGGACGTTTCGTCATGTTTCGAAGCAGATAATCCCAATTGGCTCGGTTGCAAAACACAGTCATAATGCTGTAATGAGACTGTAACTGAATATAATCCACATATGTGTAATGACAGTAAGAATAATCAGAAACTAAGAGAAGTGAAAGGAGTAGTGCCACATGACCACGATCTTGCTAAAACAAGCTGTTTACTTATAGGTCCGGAGAGAACAGCATCTCCTCTTATGACACAGAGCAAGTAAGTCTAAATTCATGTGGTTTGTCACGTATATGGACTATGTCACGGTCAACTTGTATAAATATGTGAGGTGGTATGGCATTAGTATCGTCAACCGAGACGTCACTTTCATAATCATCACTTGGTCTCTGTGTACTTCCTTCATTCTCTATTCTTCTGCAACTACTAAAAGACTTAGCTCTTTTACTTACCTACACCTGAAAAGCAAGATCCCTATAGAAAATACTACAACAACATTACAATGCCGTTAACTGTCGATACTATGGCTAGTCATATAAGGAAATTTGTTTCCAATTTACAGCCAATGAGTTTGCAGTACTCAGCGCTTGCACAGCCTATAGGCTTAGATAAGCTCAGCCACAACACGGAATTTACAGTCGTCATAGTAGTCTTTATTATTATTATTTCTAAATATATACACTTTACATTTCTCAATTGTCAATAGCATATTAGATTTGTCATAATGAAATTATTATTATTATTATTACTATTATTATTTTGTTTGTTTCCTTAATGCATTAATGTGTTTTTCCTCCAGTGTTTACCTTTAATTAGTCTTGTTGTGTTTGTCCAGTATGTAACTACTTTTATCTATAATGTGCTGTGTCTGTAATTGGCCTTGCTGCTGTTGGCCAAGCACATAAATAAATAATAAAGAATTGAACTGAATTTAAGTATTACACTGTGCTCTCTTCGTAATTTGCCTTGTAGCTGTTGGCTCGACACATAAATAATAATGAACTGAAGTGAATTATTGTTGTTGTTGCATTTGTTGTGATAATTAGTATGTACGCTCTGATAATAGTACCTACACTGTGCTGTTTATGTATCGATTTTGTAGCTCTTGACTCCGCATATAAATAACAGACCCTGGATTAAGTCATTGCTAGCGTGACCGTCAGGAACATCTGCATTTCAGTTTGAGCAATACTGTTTGTTGCATGCAGCGATGTCCCTAATTTCTTAGACTCACACATATGTTGATTTTTTATATTCTGAAGACGTTTAGTTACAACGTTCACTGTTAAAATTCATGAAGATTTCGTATTCTGAGACATTAGTTATGGATCGTTCATTATGTGCAGAAGACACCGCAACTTTCTGTGACCTTACTAAGTATTGTGGCATGCAGACTCGTTGCTAGGCTACGGTCGCGTGATAGGAGAAAATACAACAGAAGAATGGTGTTCCCTGCGCCATCCACTAAGCAAGCAATCGAAGAGCAACAGAGGATCGATGTTTTCTATGCGGTTCGTGCTTAGATTTTACAAACAGGACAGTTGGAGATATGGATGAGTTGTGAAACAGCTGCCAACCGGTAAGAACGTGAGGACGCAAGCAGAGAACACTGTTGGATCCGACATCAGATAACGACTTGTGAAGACACAACAGACAGAGAAGACTAAATATGTGTTGCAGTGAACTGCTGAGTGTGTGAATTAGCGATAGTGCTATAGCTACTTGTAGTTACGTTCTGTAAGTGTTCAATAACTCCAATTACCAATTCAAACCCCGTCTATCATTAACAGTTTCCGAGATAAGAGCGTCACGGAGAGACGGGTACAGTATAAGCCTACACGCCGAACACAGTGGCCGCGCGGTCTAATACATGAACTGTCTTGGCCCGCTGAAACACTGGGATCGTCGGTTCGAATCCCACTCAGGGCATGGATATTTGGTATGTGTGTGTGTGTATTCTGTGTCTGTGTTATCCTGTGTTTAGGTAGTGGCCTTTCCGACGCACCACTGACTCGTCCAAAGAGTCCTGCCGTGTGTGAAATGATTCAAAGAACAAAAGAAAACCTCGAAACCGTATAAGGGCATAAGAGAAACGGTTGAAAAAAAAAAAGATAAAAAGTGTAGGTTACGCACTGCGATACCAAGGTCATTAGTAAAGTTATATGTATGTATGACACATACATTCCCTGCTGACATTTGATTGGTCAAATATTCTTAAACACTTGTCGTAATTATACGTTCCTGTTCTCTCAGAGCAGGAGAACAAAGTATCATATCCAGGCTACTGACATATAAGCATATCACAATCAATGTTTTGAAAACAGAACGTAAACAGACGAATTTGAAAAGTTTTGTAGTTATACCGATGTGGCCTTGGGTATACCGCAATACGGCATTTCTCCTATAATAGGCAGGCCTATGCTTCTGGTATAATGAAGCATCGTGCAGGAATGGCCGAGATTAACTTGCAATGAGACCTCGCGTCTCGAAGTGACGATGATATATTGGCCAAGTGCAGGGGAGACGCGGGCTAGTCATATAGTCTTGGGGCTCGCCTCTCTCCGCCCGTGAAATATCGCATAGAGACACGCAAAGCAACTCACAGACAGACTGAAGTGGACGTGCAAAACGAATAATTTACTGGCTTTCTACTTGCAGTACGTGTATACGTACAGTCTGTAACATGCTCAGGTACTAAGCCAGAGACACAATGGCGCAGTGATTTCAAAATAAACAAAATAGAGTTTATTTAGGTCAAACATGACGATCGTGGCGTGTTACTGGTCCTGCCCCCACTTCCGTTTCCTGTAGTGACGTATGCTGGAAATTTGGTGACTAAGACGACAACTGTGTTCGGGGAGGTGACGTCGTAATCTTGTACATGTTTCGGAGGAATGCTGGCGAACTTCTACCAGATTATACGACGTCACGTCCCACAGGATAATCTCTTAATAGTTGTATTTCAATTCGCGCATAATAACGGCATAAGAGTGCACTGCAACTTAGAACATTTCATAATCAGAGCTCTACAACAACAAAAACCACCCTCCGTGGCTTTAGTCCGCAAGCGAACTATACCGACTGAGCGACCGCCGCTTGTCGGCGAGGTTAGTGCCAACTTTAGCGGATAGAGGGTGTCGCGTGGTCAGGACAACGGACGGTTAATTTCGGTTTTCTAGACCGGAGCCTCTACTTTTCCATTCAAGTAGCTCCTCAATTTGCTAACGAGGCTGAATGGACCCCGTTCCAGACCCACTATTTCTCAGAAAATCTTGCAGCACCAGGAACCGAACCAGGGGCCTCTTGATCTGTAGGCAGGAACTCTGACCACTAGATCACAGAAGCGGTCGGCAGACAATAATTTGGCTCAAATATTAAGTTTATGGGCATTATCCATCGTCCTGTTTGTATCTATAAAATAACGTTTTGTTTGTATTTCCAAACACGTTTCGGAGACTGAGTTCTCTCTCCGTCTTCAGGTAAGACCTAATCAGTAAACCTACTTAGTAGGTCATCAGGCGGTTCATTGATCCCTCTAATGATTAGGTTCGTTACTATCTTAGTAGTTTCTTTAGGTTGTTAGTTAAGTAGTGTTCTCGCTGGTTAGTTAGTCATTTGTTTGGTTAGCCAGCTTCATAGAGCTGCATGAGAGTTTTATATCCAAAACGGGGGGTTTGCCGCAGGATCAAAGCATGGGGTGGCCAAGTGAACACGCCACAAGAAGACAGCTGTCCGTCAACGTGGCGTGTGCAAAAGGAAGCAGCGAGTGACCGATCAATGTGGTAGCTCGTTATTGGGGCGACAGCCTCGCCTGTCTGAAACTAATCACGGGCACGGAGCAAATCTAGAACGAGCTGCTCCGTCTCTCTCTCTGTAGGAAGAAGCTGTCTCTGTCGCATCGCACGCCGCGCCGCGACGCGAGTCACCGCGACGAAAGTGATTAGAGCGTCCACTGCTTCTTACTCACACGCTCCGAGAACCTGCACCACCTAGCGGGCAGCACAGGAACAAACACCAGCTTCGAGACATGAGAAATCTCTTACAACCAACGTTACGAAAATTGCGTTGCTCAGTTCCATTGGGTATTGATTCGATTCTCTAAACATCGGTTACATGAAGTGCAGAGCCTTGTGGACGTATCGCGCGCTCCGTGTCGATGTGGTAACAATTTCTGGCCTTCCCAGGCAATTCAGAATACTCTGCACCCAAAATGAACCGCCGTGAAACCTGGAGGTCCAATATTTATCACAGCTATGTATTCGTTACGCAACAATTGTGTTGAAGACTGTTCACTGTCTCAAGTTTATTTTATATTCTCGACGTTTCGAGAGTGAGTCCCGTAGTCCGATCCACCTTCAGGTCTTCATTATATAGAGAGCTTTATTTTTATTTATATTACTTTTTACAGTAATGGTAGCGTGATCCCTTCCGGTACTAAACTTATAGGGCAACGACTGTTACTCCCCAGTGAGAAACTAACAAATGAACACAAAACGACCGTGAACAGGAAGTACCAGGGCTATTTAGGGTTGACGGCAGGTTGGAAAGCCTCACAAGGGACTATATATATAGTTGAAAACTCTTAAAGAGCTGTAGCTGTTTGCGCTGAATGAACACTGATTACGGACGTGCCAAAACGTATAATAATAATAATAATAATAATAATAATAATAATAACGTGGCTAAGACATTCTTAACTACGATCTGGTGTCTTCATCTGGAGTGCATATGTTCAGACTTTCCTATTCCTCGTTGTGCTACAAGTAGAAAGCTGGAGTTGTCCCTGAACTTGTTTGAACACTACGCCATGCATATGTATGCGGTTTCAGATATTTTTAACTTCGACACTGGATTGAGGTTAGTAATCAGCTTCACGTTCCGGCCGCTTTACCCCCACGAAAAATCCCCCTTACCCTTTGGTTACATGGCCTGGTTGGCTCCAGATCTGGTCTAGAAGCAGTGGCGACGAGAGAAATTTCTACA